TATCTTTGTCTCGGCATACTTTGGTGTAGGACTAGGGGTGTCGGAACAGTTGACTATGCACACTTTTGTTGGCAGGGCGATGTCTCTGCTATTTAGTATGCTGTCTAGATTTGACATCTAGATTTGTTGTAAATAGCAGATATTCCCAAAATTTACAATTTATTTTGGAAAAGCAGCAGGAGATTTTCATTTCATGAAACATTTAACTAAAAACTTAATTAAAAATATGTGGGAAACGAAATCCCTTATGGTTGCTTGGTTGTTTCTGTGGATGATAATTGTTTCTTTCTGGCAGATGCCCTCCAGGGACTGAGGCTGAATGGTTGTGCTTTCTGCTCTTGGCTACTTTGAAGCATAAATATAACAAATATAACAAAAAGGCAACAGTAAAAAATATTGGGTTTCTGTCTGGATGGTCTCTTGTGACGAGCCGAAGNAAGATGTAAAATTCCCTTCAGTGCTAGAAAAAAAAACTTAATATGGTCCAAATTACAAACCTCTAGAGAAGGAAGCCAGTATGATGAGAATTAAGAAGTGGGGTGTCATTGTGAAAAAGGAATAAGATTTGCACCTTGAGTTGAAACTTAAGAAGGAGAAGGAGAGTTTAAATAGGAAGTGAAAGTCTTGTTGGCTTTGCATAAAACCTTGTGGGAGCTGTATAAATGTTAGATGAAGTCCAGAAGTGTAGTGAAATTTACTTGAGAATAGATGATGATATAGAGTGTCTCTATGCAAGCAGTCCTCAACTTATGCTCTGGAATTTCGTTTGTTAGATAGTGCTGCCATAAGTAGAGGAAACCACATGACTGGACACAAATCTTCAACCATTCTTTTTAGTGATTGATATGAGAATCTTTAGGTTTTTAAGCAAATGTATTGCTCCAAATGGGGGATTTTTTCCCCCCTGATACTTTGCTGTAGTCTTTTCAAAACAGAACTTGACTTGGGAAAATAGGAGGAGAGCAAATTCCATACAATTCAAAACATCTAATGAAAAGTATGTATTCTCATGGAAATAATCACACAAATCTTTCTGCAATGAATCCCTGAAGAGGAAAAGGAAGACATTTTGATATGTCCTCTGGCACTGAAAGAAGACGAATCTGCAGGAAACCACAGCAAACTAGTTAGAAACCAATAAGTGAATGATGTTGAAACCATGACAATAGGGAGTAATAATATGATCTATTGATTTGGCATATTCATTTCACCCCTTTTGCCCCAGTAATTTTTATTCCAGAATATAGAGAACTCTCATTTTGTGATTGTCTGGAGACATTTCAGTGGCAAAAGGAAAGGTTTTTCCATGGGATCCTGTACCATTTCAAACCAATGGCTGTCCAATCTCTTCTTAGAAATATCCAGGGTTAGAGCATTCACATTCAGACCTACAANCAATTGCGCAGAGCCAGCCGAGGCACCAGGGCAGAATTTGGATGGACATCAATGGATTGATTTTCAAGCTCTTACCCCAGCTCATTCTCTCTTGTCCCCTTTTTCCTTTGACCTCCATCGTTTCCCAGCATTAGGCTCTTCTCCAGTTATTTCTTCCTTCTCATTAGTTGGCAAAAGTATTTGAGTTTCATCTTCAGGATCTGGCCTTCTGAAATGGAGTTAGAGTTGATCTCTGTAGTACTGACTGATTTGATCGCCTTTTTCCTGTTACAGTTAAAACAGTTAAGCAGTAAAGCACATGTTGACTGTACACTTTGCTTGATCTGTGGTTTTATGAACAGAATTTCTAACAGAAGCTAGTGCTACTAACGCAACAGAAGTTTTATTAGGGTCAAATTGTGCATCCCCCGAAATTCTCAAACAATGCAGATTAAAATCTTCTTCCAGAGCAGCCCTGTTGAGAAGCCAATAGCAAAGTAAACATCAGAAGAACCTGACTCTGCGGGAGAACAGTCACATGAGAAAACTTCTTACAAGACCCTCCCCCATTCTGACAATTTTCAAGGAGGGAGGTTGAAGCATTCAGAGTTGAAAGACTATTACTGTATCTTTTTCATGAAAATACTTTTGATGTATATGTATTGGGTTTCCTTGTCTGGAGTAGCTTGAAGGTTTGACTGAATGCAGAGTAAGGTATGATTGGTTCAGTTTCTATTGAAGAAGAAGCAATGGAAACATCAGTGAACAGGTTGCTTTGACAAAATTAAACAGCATTGTTACAAAAGAAAACAGAGCTGAAGCAGTTTTACAGCTTTGCAATCAGCAGATATTATTTGTAAGCAATTCAAGCAGCTACTGATTCACTGGAGTATAAGAAAGATGGGAAATGCAGCTGAATCAGACTTCCAACATTCTATAATTTCAGCTGCTCTTTTTTTAACATTCAAAATGAGAGGTGGAATTTACGCTCGTTACATTTGATTTACAGTTGTTGTATTTAGCAGNTAGTTAGTAAAAGTGAATCCAGATGCTTTACAGGTTAGGCGAAGGGAACCTCCAGGGATTACAACACCCCCTCCAGTCTCCACCAACTGAACCTCTGCATGGCATTCTGAGAATCAAACATCGACATCGAATCAGGACAAAACCTGAATAGGAACATCTAACCTCCTATTTTTTGTTACGAGAGAAGATCTACCTAAAAGATAGATAAGGAACAGGAGGAAAGTCCAAAGAAGCATATCTCCATTATTTTGCCTTTCCTTGAGGCTAACTGGTGTTTGGCTCTGCAGATGTAAGTTTTCAACAACTGCTTTTAAGGAGATGAAACGATTGAATTGATTTGTATCATCTCCAAATTATAAGGATGTGGTCCTTTCTTGTGGACTGCAAAAGCATGTGAACAGTTTCAGCTTAAGGTAAACACAACTAACTCCTTTTCTTCTAAATGGCATAAATATACTGGAGGGAACAGGTATTAGAGAATGACTTACATATGCCTAATATTAAATTCATATATTTTTGTCATTTTCTTTAAAACTCTGTGAAGTTTTTAATTTAATTCAAGCAATTAATTTTAACTCATTCCATATGGAGAAACCTTGTCCAATTCTTGCAGATAACATGAACAATGCATTAAAATTCACAATTTTGAACTCTGTCTCAGGCCCTGGGAATCCTAATAATTGTCTCCACCAAATTTAAAGTGTTATGTGCTTTTCAGCCTTTTTAAGATGGAACAATATTAATTGTGAGATCCAAAATCATTTAACTCCTATTCTAAATCTTGAAATGGATATTAAACAATTAAGCAAAAGATTCATTTAACTCTCAGAACTAAAAGTGTATGGGGACCCTCTGCCTTTCATGTTTATTTCTTAAAATGCCAATGAAGTTTGGCCACTTAGATCTCCTGGGGAGTGTTGTTCCATTACGTTGGAGTTGTAACACAAATTTTAGAATCCGTATACCATCCTGAAGAAAGCCTACACTGCCAGTTCTGGTGGGCATTAAGGGACAATGAGAGAGAATTAAGTAATGTAAGTAACCTGGTCCTATGGCTTTATAGGTAATAACTGGCACTGAAGTATTTTTGTGTAACAACTGGGGCTGCCCTTGAAGAGCATCCGGCGACTTCAGCTGGTACAGAACGTGGCCGCGC